ATTGGAAAAGGAACTGGTGAATTTATTAAGGCACTCATGAAGGAGATTCCAGTGTTACTTCAGATTCCGGTGCTGATAATTATGGCCTTGGCTGTCCTGGTTAGTATATCAGCACTATTAATATTTAACAGGATTTGCAGAAAAAAAGTAGTTCTAAAATTATTAGGCTGCTTTGATGTTGTAAATCAAACTAAGTCATGCTTGCTGTTTTGTTTGGTTTTGTTGAGACAGGTCTCACTGTATAGCCCAGACTGGCCCTGAACTCACTGTCCTCTTGCCTCCACCTCCCAAGTGCTGGTGTTATAGGCATGTGCCACCACACCCAGCCTAAGTTATGCTCATTGGTTCAAAAAGTGATACACATTGATTCAAAAAGTGATACACATTGATTTATTTATACTTATATGTATATTCCTCTAATCAAGGAAGTTCTCTAGCTTATAGATATCATAGCAGTGATTTACAATAATAACCTCTTTTTATCTTTTTGTAGTAAAAATAATAGTAAAGTTTATTAGGAAGGAAATGTAGTATAACAGGATAAGAGTGGGGAAAAATGAGAAAAAAGAAAAACATTTCCTGTCCTCATGCAAGGAGAAGGAGACACAGGAGGAGAGACTCCTAATAACCTCTTTTTAAATTCATTTTTTAAACTTGGTGAATTAGTACCTAGGAAATTGGTTTACTACTTCCTGTTTAAAAAAATAGGCCTTCTTGTTCCAGTCTGAGTTTGTGCAGCATTAACTTGAACCCAGAATCAGGGAGGGTGCAGGGAAGCAGTTTGGGGATCCGGGAGCAGACACTTGTCAAGAACATTGTTCATTCATCCATGGTTGTTCAGCCTCTTTTTGATGTAGATTTTTACTCAGTAGCCAAAATGCAGTTTCCATGTGAAAGTAAAGAACTCAGACATGCCATGGGAAATTGTCCCTTTTTTGGGAGGGAGGGGAATTATTCTTTCAGATATAAAATTTACTATGCTCCATTCACTTTGAAGTTGTTCCTTTTTTGGTTTTGTCTTTTGATGATTATAGGACTCAATGGGTTAGAGATAAGACTTTCTTACGTGACATTACTTCTTTAGTAGTAGTTTAGTCTCTAAAACTGAAACTGATCAAAAGCTTTATTATTTCTTTTTGTTTGGTTTTTAAGATGGAATCTTGCTATGTTGCACAGGTTAACCTTAAACTCCGGGGCTCAAACTGTCCTTCCACATCAGCCTCCCAAGTAACGGGGACTACAAGTGTGCGCCACCCTGCCTGACTTGTGTTATTTCTTTTTGCATCATTTGTTCACTATGGAAAGTTAGACTCTTTGACTTATTGCTTCTGTCTACAATACCAGTATGATAATGCTGGTACAGAGATTTTAATACTTTTGTTCTTAGGACCCCTTTGCATTCTTAAAAATTGAAGATCATAAAGAACTCATGTCTGTGGAGTTACATTCACTGACACTTACCATAGATTGAGAAATTAAAAAAATACAAGTATACACAAACATACATTCCACGAGTTGTCAGACTATCACCCTATCCTGTGGAAAACTCTGCTGTACACTCACAAGAAGACAGTGAAAAAGATAAATGGTGCCTTTCCTGAAAAATAAGCCTGTTGCCTAGTTTTTCCTATGGGATATGAATCAGAATCTGTTGAATTTTAGGTATAGCTTAAGCCAAGTTTGTGTTTGTAAAAAAATCTATAGGAAAATGTCTGCATAGCATTTGAAATAATTTTCAGCATTTACTTTATATCATGGAGCATGAATGTAGAAACATGAGCAATTATCAGAAAATTACAACTTTCTGATTTAAATTCCTAGGCCTCAGCCTGCTCTTATAAATTGAATCAAAATATGTCTAGCTGATTGAAATGTCTACTTGATACTGAGAGATTTCTTAGGTTTTATTGGCTACTCTGGCCTGTATTAATCTGAAGAAAAGTTGTTTAATAAAAAGTGAATTAATATTTTTATGTCTGTAAACGTTGACTAAGATAGCTCATAATTTAAGTCTTGAGGCTAATGCATTCTTCTTCTTACAGAGCTTCTGCTATGGTGCTGGAAAATCAGTTAGTGTGCTGAGACATGTAGGTGGTCCTGAGAGAGAACCTCCCCAGGCACTTCAGCTGGGCGATAGAAGACAGCAGGAGATTGATTATAGACTCCATGGTGGAGCAGGTGATGCAGATTTCTATTATAGGGGCAACGTTGGCTCCATTGAGCAAGTCCCTTCTGACAGAACATATGAGTATAGAAGAGATGTTTTGAGAGAGAGAGATGTTGGCTTGAGATTTCAGACTGGCAACAAGAGCCCTGAAGTGCTCCAGGCATATGATTTACCAAACACAGAGGCACAAGAGCATCCTGAGGTGGTACCCAGCGTAAGTCAGCAACTGTTTATTTTGCTGTCCCTTTGTTGTAGACTTAAATGCGTCTTACTGAGCTTTTGAATAAGTGTCTTTATTCTTTTACCCTTCACTGTTAATTGTGTCATTAGTGGTAAGGTTCGTCCAGCTTCCTCAGAAGAAATAAAATTAGATTTATTTTTTGTGGTAAATACTATTTAATGGTGGTTTGTTATAACAGGTGGTATTTCATACGAAATTCATAGGAAGCTGACAAGCGAGCATGACTAAATTCTGCCTTTGAAGAGATCAGAGAGAGGGCCTCACAGAAGGCCTGGAACACAAGGGTACTGAAGGGTACTGGCAGTAGGGCTCTAAGGCCCAGTTTGGATGAGAAGGGGTGGTAGCAGTTCAAAAGCTTTGCCTTTCCTTTCTATCATTAGATTTTTCTATATTAGAAATCTTTTGAGGTCATTGGCTGGCTAGACTGCACCTTTTACTGGCAGAATGGTGACAAGGGCTTTTTCACTACTATTGGTGTTTTTGTTTTGTTTTGGTGGTACTGGGTTTGATCTCAGAGTCTCAGACTTGTGAGGCAGGTGCGCTGTACTTGAGCCACACCTCCAGCCCTAGTCTTGGTTATTTAAAGGGACATTTCCATTTCTGTTTGCAAATGATTCTTTTCTCAAAGTAAACCTTTGAGAAACAGTTATGAACTCAACAGAATCTAGAAGACTATAAAATCTCTTGCCATGGAGTTCCCTATGAAAATGTTACCTTCTTATATCTGGAAAACCTGGGAATGGTTCTTCCCAGTTATCTGTTACCTGCTACTCATCTCAAAAATGCTCCCGTGACTTGCTCTCACTTGAGGAGAACGCACTGTTGCAGTGGTCTGCCCTAGTGGTACCTGGTCTGGTCTGCGCACATCCCCGGCCCCAACCCACCACCTCCCTGGTCATCTGTTCTCCCTCCAGGCTCACTGCACCTCAGTCACAGGCGTTCCTTGAGCTCCGCGCCTTTGCTCAGTGCCTAGGATGCTGTTTACCCATATGGTTCATTTCCTTAGGCCTTTACTCATCCTTTCTTAGATCACCTTAGACCTAAGTCTGACCCTAGCATTTGTCTCTGCTTTTTTCCTACATAGCCCTTAATTCAGACTTTATGTCATACTCTTGTTTGTCATCTGATTCTCTTTTGTTCCTGCTGTATCCTCAGTACCTAGAACTACATGCTCAATAAGTGCTTGTTGAGCAAATTATTCTCAAGAATTATGCAAGAAGAGTTAGCAGTACTGGTGATCAGTCCTCTTGACCCCTCCTAAGCTGGATCACTAGACCACCTGTCATCCTAGTGTCCCCATTCTTCCACATACAGTTCCGTGAGTCGTGACACTCACATCATTATAACCTAGCTGTGGGACCATGGTTTAAAAGCATCTGGAGTGTGCTACAATAGACTTGGAGAAGAACTTGATCTGCAGCTTAGGAGTTCAGAAAAAAAATTCTATTTGATTACTAAACTTCACATTATGTTAATTGTTAAAATGTAATTCTGTACTTTATAGCATAAATCATCTATTTTGGATACAAAGCCCAAAGAGACTGGAGGAATCCCAGGAGAAAGTACCCTGACAGAATGCAGCAAGTCCATTAAGCCTGCCCCTGACCAGGAGGCATCAGGGACTGCAGAAGACTCGCCTGCAGTGAAAAAGGCCCAGCTGAAGACTGAGGTGGAGGGCAGCCCTCAGAGCCCAGACCCCGCAAGAACTGCACCCACAGCATGTGGAAAGGATCCCATTGGCAGCCTGTGTGGCTAGAGGAGCACAGACGCAGGCCCCAGCTCTGAAGTCATCCGTCTTTAGTTTTGTAAAGTATACCTTAACAACTCTATCCATTCTTCCTACAAATACGGTATTTACTCCAAAGGTGTAAATTTAATCAATAATTTTGCTTACACACATGTATGCATGTAAAAGCTCCCGTTTAATTTCATTTTCTTCTCTTTGATGTTAAGATACATCCCATAATGTTTTAAAGTGTTAATTTTGACACGGGACTCAGAATTTACATTTAAAAATGAATGTTATGGCAAATACACATTCTAGATAATTATGGCGAGTGAATTAGAAATTAACTGTTTATAGGCATTTATAGGAACCAACTAACTGAAGTGTGTGTTGCCTCGTGGAAGCCCTGTCACATCTTTAGTTAACAGAATAATTTATCTTGCATTAGATTTGAAGTGTTTCCAGTGTAATAGATACTTATGAACTGTTTTTAAAGAAAGATCACTTAAGGTCACCCCCTTTGTGGATGCTGGCATCTTAATGCAGCTGCAGAGTTTATGAGCATCAGTCCAGCTGACACCCAGTTTGTCTCTAGGTGGACCAGTCACAGATTAGTGTGACTGTTTGGTTTCATCCCTCCTGCAGCTCTTACTGGGCCTGCTTCCTTATCATACCTTTGACTGTGTGCCTCAACAGAGCTGAGGATTGCCAGTGGGGTTTATGTGACATAGCAGTAATCCTAGTTTTATGGCATCAGTTGACTTTGAGAATGACTTTATGATGCTTTTCCCACCAGATGAAGTGCACAGGCATTGTTGAAGATCTCCTTCCCATATTGCTTACAATCCTAGCAGTGGATACTACTGGATATTACCAAGCTTATTTAGATTATAGCAAACTTGTCTTGGCTACATAAGGTTCTATATATGAAGAATACTATGATAAGGAAAACAGGTGTTTTTCTTAACTACAGATGGGTTGTCAGTTAATGTTTTAGTCTTCTAAATTTTAAAAATCATTCTTAATTGAAGCAATTTGTGTATTTTGCATATGTCCCTAGCTGTCAGGCATCACATGCACTCAGGTGGCTTTTGTTTTAACCATATTTACACTAGAAGTTATATGCAGCTGCTTTCTAAAAATGGTACCAGTCAGGAATGAAATCATAAAATTTCCATGTAAGCATTTGTTTCAGGAAAAAAGACAAGGATGTTTTTTGATAATTTTTACACAAAATGCAGAACACCCTTTTTTGGCTCCCAGAAGTGTTACTTGGATACCTGAAAAAAAAATTAATTTTACATGTCAGTATTATTTTCTTTGTATTTCAAAATGATAATCATTTTTTCCAAGAAAGATAACATTTTTGGATTTTCTATTAAGATTTGTAACATATAGCAGGCATGTAACAACTGACTGAACGAACACTGTGTATGTAAAACAGTTCTCTCTGGGGACTGGACCCACTCCCACTGATTGGTGAGTGAGCTCCAAGCCGCAGGACTTGTCCTCTGAGCTGTGATCTGATTCTGAAGAGAAATGAATGCCCCAGGCGATAGACTGTGACTGAGAGCAGAGGTAATGCTGCTTGTACTCCACGTTGCTTTTAATCAGTCCCAAAATGAGTCCTTTTAAAAACCATTTGGAATCTCATCTTTGTATTCTTTCATTACAGATGTTCATTTGAGGATGAAATCTGCTTTGACAGCTAACAAGGCAACATGTTACTGCTATTGAATGATTGCAACAATTCAGGGAAGACTGTATTAAAGTTTATTGAACCTACCAAGCCCAGTTTGTTACCAGGAAAGAGAACAGGCTTGTTTATTGACTAGCCAATATTTGTTACTGGAATTAAGGTTTGTAGTAGTTAGCTTTTAAGAAAATCAGAATGGGGTACACAGCTGTTAAAAGCAGGTTTTTTATTCTTGGTTTTTTTTTTTTACTGGGATTTGAATTCTGGGCTTATACTTTGAGCCACTCTATCAGCCCTTTTTTGTGATGAGTTTTTTTTCCGGAGAGGGTTTCACAAACTATTTGCCTGGGTTGGCCTTGAACCGAGATCCTCCTGATCTCTGCCTCCTGAGTAGCTAGGATTACAGGTGTGAGCCACCGGCACCCAGTTAAAAGCATTTTTTAAATGGAATAATGTTGAATGTTTACAGGGTATAAGAAACACTGTATACAAAAAATAAACACTTATTTTTACATAATTGTGGTTTGGTATGCTGTCTTTGCTTAATGAGTTTTTAGTTTTGTTTATTTTTGTTAGGTACTGGGGATTGAATCCAGGGCCTCACTGCTAGGAGCTATTCCACTAGCCCCTGCTTTATGAGCCTCTTGTAAAGTAAGTCCCATAAAACGTGCAGTTTTGAAAGTGATGGTGTCCTGGACATTGTAATCTGGGATTTACCCAGCTTAATGTAATCTGGGTTTTAGCCTAATGCTTGTGACAACATTTCTGTGTGTTCTTAAAGCCAAGAAAAAATATTTTCTTAGCTCTAAATATAATTGCAGGCTGTAACTAAATTTTTTTTTACATTGGCCATTTTAGAGAAGTTGGATCTTTTGCCCATCAGAATCATCCAAATGACTTTTTGAGAAGAGACCAAGGTCCCATCTTAGCTTTGTAGAATCAGTGGCAACTACAGTTGTTGCCAGTGTGTTCCTGGTGTGGGAATTTGTATTTAGCCTTAAGCCAGACCCCACTGTCTCTTGCTTTCTGCCTTTCTCACCACCTCCCATTGTGCACAGTTGTAAACTCCAAGAAGTCCTAACTGATGCCTCTCATGCTGGTTTTTTTGTGAGCTTTCATTTGTTTGCTATTTATGTGGCTTGGGTTCCTGACGTAACCACATGGTTTTCTGATGTGTTTTGGCTGTCTTTTTAAAATATTAGGTCATTAAAAGTTTGTTTTATAGGAGTATTATGCAACTGAAGAGACAAATCACCCAAACCTGCTAAAAGAAATTTATTGAAGCATTTTTTATCCTGGCTTTGGCCTAAAAATGTATTGAAAACAGATTTTCTTAAAGAAAAAAAAAATCCAGAATTTTATAAGACTATTTTATGTAACTTTTTTTTACATTAGACAGGTACATTATTATTACTGAACAGTGTGATTTCCCACTGTATCCATGGTTAAGCATTAAAAAAAAACCAAAAAACATTGTCAATTGAGATTTTTTTTAAAAATCACCTCAGCAAGAGGATTAAATTCTAGCCTAGGATTCATTTAAATTCCTACTTTACAAACACTTTGCTGAAGAGCAGTCCCAGGCAGTAACCGTGGCGATTGATGAAGCACCTTATGGGACACTGCCACCCTGAAAGCACTGTGTCCACAGGAATGCTGACCCAGTACTACACTACTGAAATCTAAGTAGTTACATTATTCTAAAAACATTGTAAGCTGTACCACAGTGCTATATATTCTCCTTTTTAGGAAAAAATAATGTTGAATTTCCCTGCAGCATTCTGAAAGGAAGTAGGTCTTTTCTTTAAAAAGAATCCATAGCATCTAGTGGCTTGCTTGTTATTTTCCTGGAAAGGAAATAGGTGTTTTCTTTAAAAGAATCCACAGCTTTTTAGTGGCTTGTGGTTTATTTTCCTGAATTTTTAAATTCCAAGAAAGCATTACTTTGCAAAAAGTCCTTTAGTCCAAATTCAGTGTCTCTGTTTTGATCTCTTTGTAAAAGAACTCTCTGTTCATCCATTCTTTTTGCCTGAGACCGTAAAATAAGGCTAAAAAAATCTTCATCCGGTACCGTTGCGCCCTCTGTGGCAGCAGGCGGTGGAGCACATCTTTGGTCATCCAGTCTGGACCCCTGAGAGTGTACGAGAAAGATTAAGACACTTCAGGTAAGAGAAACACCAGGCTGTATGACATCTGTCAGTCCTGTGTAAACTGAAACTAAACATTTCTCTACAGACCTGAAGCCTAGTAAAAACTATTTAGAACGACTTACAGAATCAGAATGTAAGTATCACGTAGAAGTACAGCCAGAGTCTCATGGTTAGTAAGTACATTAAATCATATGATTTTAATTATAATTGATTACAAGAAATCTGAGATTAATCTCTTGGCAAGGTCACCCGTGTCCACATAGCAATTCCAGGATTAGAATCTTACCATAGCAGGTGTCCACAAGAGCATTCACCAGACCTTTAGAAATACATTTAAAACCCTGCAGAACACTACCTTTAGAAAGCCTTAGGCTAGCCAGGTGTGGTGGTATACACATGCCTTTAATCCCAGCTCTGGGGAGGCTGAAGCCAGCCTGGGCTATATAGACCCTGCCTCAGAACAACAAAACAGAGCCTTGGGGCAGGGGGCAGCAAACGCTAACCAGTGCCTGCTTCTGAAACTCTCATTTAAATTTCACCACCAGTGATACTGAGCAGTTGCAACAGAGATCATACCGCCTGAGGCCTGAAATATTTTCTCTCTGGCCCTTTACAGAAAAGTCTACCTGCCTTTGTCTTAGGCATTTGTTAAAGAAATAACCCAGACTGAATTTTTCCTTCAGGTTCTAAGTGAGTGTGAGAGTGTGTGTGTGTATGGTGTGTAAAGTGGGAGAGTTTATTGAGAGAAAAGTAGCAAAGAATAGAGCTTCTAGAGCTGGGAGGGATCCCAAGAGGGTGTCCAATGTCACGATTCTTAAATTAGAAGTACATTAGAAATGTTAACTGATTGCCAGGTGCTGGTGGCTCACGCCCGTAATCCTAGCTACTCAGAAGGCAGAGATCAGGAGGATTGCAGTTCAAGGCCGTTCTGGGCAAATAGTTTGCAAGACCCTATGTTGAAAATACCCAACACAGAAAAGGGCTGGCGGAGTAGCACAAGTGGTAGAGCACTTGCCTAGCAAGTGTGAAACTTAGCCCAAACCCCAGGAGCACAAAAAAAGTAAAAGTTAATGATCAAATAAATAAAATCCAATAACTTAAGAATTTACAGTGCAGTTTCTGATGTTATAGCTCAAAAATAAGAGTGAAAATGTGGTAGTGTACCCACTGTATTGCTGGCCACTGTGCTAAGCATTACATGCCTTAAAACATTTAACCCCATAATCCTACGAGGGTGCAGGTGTCCGCTGGCTTCCTACTCAGCACCTGCACCTCCACCTCCACACAGCTGGCTCACTCATTTCTCCCATCATAATTCCTGGTCGGTTCAGCAGCCTTCAATAAATCCAACCTTGAGCACCTCCATTCCTAGACCTTTCCTTATCGTTCTCACCCTTTTCCTCTCCCTTAGCCATTTGCCCCACAGTTAGGCCAGACCCTTACTGTCGTCTTTTGAGCCAGGTTGACTTTTAGGAGTTCTCCATATATTATTGATTATTAATCATTTATCAGATGTGATTTCCAGACGTTTTCTGTGGGGTGCCTTTTTACTCTATTGCTAGTGTCTTTTGATGCTTTTTTTTGAGGGGGGGTCCGGGGGATAGTACTGGAGCTTGAGCTCAGAGCCTCATGCTTGCTAGGCAGGCACCCTACCACTTAGGCCATTCCACCAGCCTAGAGATTTTAAATTTAATAAGTCTTATCTTTTTTTTTTCTCTGTGCTTTTAGTGTCATTACCAAGAAATCATTGTGAAACCCACTGTCATGAAGTTTTCTCTTTACTCTTCTAAGAGTTGTATAGTTTTAGTTCTGACGTTTATGTCTTTGATATATTTTGTCAACTTCATTCTTTTGTATACAACTATCCAATTTTCCGGTTTTTTTTTTTTTTT